GTCCATCAGCTTTTGTGCGAAAAGCTCAGTGTCCGCGAGAACGCTCAATACGCCAGCGTACGCTCAAAAAGATAGATCGATATCTACACTTTCCTAATCGCTCAAAACGCTAACGCAAAGTAGAGAGTAGCCTAAATGACTATGTACCTTCTTGGCAACTCTGTTGAGAATCTCCTCAGGGGGTTCGTCATCGCTCGTAGAATCCCCTGCATCATCGACTTCAGCTTTCGCTGAAAAAAATTGATTGAAACAACACATTCAACGATCCCCTGAAGACCATACATACCTCCAGAAAGCGGTATGAAGCCGGAGTCGTCCGTGTCTAAAATCTCACCCTCCTCACCTTCGGAGCCATCTGAAAAAGAATGATATCTTATTAACACTTTTTGCCACAGAAGGACCTCTCTCTAGTCTAAGCTATCCGCGAAACCAACCAGCTATACTAGAATGACCATCTTCTTCAGCGCACGAATTCGCTACCTCAGCAGCCATCTCTTTCCTCCAAGTACTGAAAGATGCAATGATTTGATTTTGAGTTTTAGTCGAGAATGAATCTAAACTGGCAATATTGTAATTGATGGCGCCCATGTGGCGTCGCGACAAAGTCCGCTGGCCCATGTTCCCCTCGACCGCTAGAATCGGTTACTGGGCTTCTCCGGCTCTACTAAGAGCGCGCTCATACTTCACGATCCGACCTTTTAGATGGCTCCGTCGGATCGGTCGAGCGTTTCGATCGCGTGGTCAGATCCCTCGAACGACTGGATCGCGCGACCATCCACCGCCAATTGGTGAACCGGCACAATGGCAGAATTCGAAACTGGGCAGCGTTCATAAAGGCATCCATCGCGCTATCGGATCGCGAAGTATGAACGCATCCTTAACTGAATTCGGCGTCTCAGGGCACTTGTCAACTACGGAGTAATCCAGCGAGTACGCTCATGCGCTAGCACGACCGAACTCATTTACTTTCATGAAGAACGAACTACTCTACACAAGTATTTTGAATAAATTTGAAGAATAAGTCTCAACGAAAAAATTTCGGGCGGAAATGTATCGCTGCAGAAATTTTTTGAAAATGCGCGTCATTGGCCTTACTTTATCCGTAATTGCAGCACTTGCACTTTATTCGAAAAGTTGTCGCCTTTTTTTAATTGTTTCTTCGGAAATCATTTGAAACAGCTCCCGTTTTGGAAGATGGTGAGTCCAGAATTGTTTTTTCTCTTTCGAGTTGTTTTAAGTATCATCTCATTCTAGGCGAGAAATGCCGAAAAAGCTATGACCGCTTTGGCGCGGTGGCGTCGATTGAAAGAGGAGGAGGAGAAGGTCAGTGGAATTTTTGACCGCTATGTTGTCGTACAATACCATTTTCATGCAATATATCTCTTTTTCTCCTACATTGTTTTTTAGCTTATCTTTGGATATAATTTCGTCTAGTGTGACAATCCACCTTTGAAAAGGGTTCTACTGTCTCACTCTTTTTTTTGCTTCCTACCTTCTATTTAATGGCGATCTTTCTACGTCTTCTCATTCCTTCAAATTTGCCTGTTTCCCTCTTCGTGAGCAACACCAGATCCCTATAGATGGAAAACTTTATATTTCGACTTGCTTCCCTCGTCCTCTCCCTCGAAGAGAACTAACTCAGTTGTCGCCGTTCAGCGGTCAGGAGCGCGGAATACCGTTACATAAGACTGGATCCTTTCTGGAAATTCGTTCGGTGGCATAAGCTCGAAAACCAGGGTAACCCGTCATCTTTGGTGTGATAAGATGGCAACAAATTTTTTCTATGTCTTAACCACTCTTGCATAAATAAATTCGCCCATTTTAGGGAAACGATGCTGACTATTTTCTTATACAGTTACAGTCTTGTTCGCTACGGATGATGTTGCGCGTCAGTGAAGCTGGATATGGCGCGCTGCCAACTCGTCTCCACTAGTTGTTGAAGCGGTTAAGCGACAGAGTAGGTGGAAAACGACTGGTGTGGACAATATGATACAGCCTTGTCGCTTTCTCGCTTCAACATTTGATAGAGAGCAAATTTGGCGCTATCCCAAACCCATCCCTCCTACCACGCCTCATCATTAGCAGCGAGCAAGACTGTTCGTGTTATTGGTTTTACACCTGAATTCAAAATAAAATTGAGTCTCCACTGCACAAAACTTTCAGTGATTTCGCGGGAGTAAGCCACCCTTAAGGTTAACCCAAATTGCATATTACAGCATACAACTAACACATAGACAAAAACAGTAATGAGCGGAGGATTATTGTAGAAGGGGGAGGGTGTCTGTCGCTTAAGTTCTCGTTGTTCACTGTTAAAGGTCGCGCTTGTCTTTATTGCTGAAATGAGGCCTGCATTCCCCTATTCTTTCATTGCCGTACTCAAGGATATTTTCAGGGTCCAATAGCCAAAAGACCTCACGACACAAGCCTTTGTTCAAATTTAGATGATGCAGAACGATTTCGTCGCGAGGTTTGATCACAGTCCTACTCGTTATATACTTTAGCACGGTAATCTAATCTACGTTCAGATTACGAAAGGAGATCGCGAAGAAAATAGCACTCATTCAAAATCCTGGTCTTGGAGAGTTCAAGATACGCGACTTAAACGATGAAATTAACAAAATGATTAGGATTAAATTCGCATGGGAAATACGTATACGAGAACTAGGAGGAATGGACTACAGGTTAGGAATTTTTTTCATGAGAGATCTTGTACGATTCTACTGCACGTATTTTTTTAAATTGAGCCAGTATGGTGTTGTGGCAGTGGCGCCGCTCACCACATCATAGTCCGATGTCAAAACTCCATTCGAGTCTTTCCTGTACCGTTCAAACTATCCATCCTTTGCGGGTCGCTCTCTCGATATCGGCCTATCTGAAGGTGAAACGACAGAAATCTGACTTTTATCAGGTCGTTTTCTGAAATGGCAGCGATTTGTATATAGGGGCGAGAAGCGTGACGTGCTTTGTAATAGTTCATACTTTGCAACTCAACGTTTCGAGCGGAAAAGACAGCATAGGTAACGATCAGCACTGGTCGCTAGCGTTTTCAGAGAAATCGCCTTTTTGAGCAAGTCGGCACTGAGGGCGCCGAACGACACCTATACTATCATTTTCATCCGATTCCTCTGAAACGCCGAGTCACAAAGTGTGAAGCTGTTTTCCATAATGAAGTTACCTATCTATTCATTATTCTGGCCAGTAGTGAGCTGCCAAAAATAGTGTTTAACGTCAAAGAATTTGGTCTGGAAGGACACTAGCGCCGCTTGGTTTGGCCCGAATAATAGTGAACGATTTAGGAAAATGTCATCGCGAGAGCTTGATAAAGAGGGAAGAGAAGTTGCGTCAAACCGCGGCTACAAGTATTTCGGTGCAGCCAAGGATTTACCTGGTGTCCGGGAATTGTTCGAGGAGTCTAAAGAACTAGAGGTTCCTCGATTTTTTTTCTCGTAAAGCTACTTTACTTTCATGCTCCTCAGCGTGATGGCGAATATATTTAAGCAAATGCGAAAGACTCGAGCCGAGTTGATGAAGAATGTCGATGCGGATTATTATGGTTACCTGGATGATGATGACGGACTCTTGATACCTTTGGAGCAAGAGGAAGAGAAAAAGGCGATTGCACAGGCTGAAAAGGTTGGTGGATTTAAAAAGTACGCTATTTTTATCTTGTGACTAGTTTAGCACTTTTTCAGTATTTTGCTGAGCATGGCGCTGAACGTTTTCAAAAAGATTTCGGAGACGATATGGAGGAAGACATCTATAAAATTGAAGATGTACGTATTTCATTTTTCATTTAAGAATCAATCAGTCAAGTTGCAGCGATGCCCTCAGTGGTACCGCATTAACAGAACCGAAGCTGAAGTGGGGGACGTAAGACTTCGGACGCTAAAGTGAAAGCTATAGGGTTTGGTACTTCCTTAAAGCGTGCTGAGGGCACGAAGGCGATGCTGAGCTGTATCTAACGTTCCTCCTTTTTTCCGATTTTTTTCGATGTTCAGGATAAGTTTTCGTCGGAATTTTGGGGCAGTTCGGCGACGGGGGAGGGGCATTTTGCACGTTTCGACGTGTCGACCCATCTAGAGAGCCTTTTCTTGAGTTGACAGGTTTTACCATGGTGGCTTGACGAGCTTGCTCCAGCTTCACAAGAGTTCACAAGTTTCACCAGAGTGAGGCTTGTAAACCGGAAGTGAAGGTAGTATAGAAGGTGGTATAGTGAAGGTGTGAAAATGAAAAATGCCCCCCTCCCGTCGCGGAAGTGCGCCAGATCTTTTCTACGAGAAGATTCGGCTAGAAGTTTTTGGTCCTTTAGAGAAAGGCGGTTCATGCAAGGATACCATCCCCGTTCGCGATGGCGCCTGGTGTTGGCTGTACGAACGCGGCCCCAAATTTTCTGAAAATATGAAACAACCTGCTTTCATGGTTTATTATGGTGACAAGACTTCTTACAAACGTATACCATGTTGTTTTCTAGAGGTCAAATTACCCTGTACGGCAAATTCCTAACATGTTTGTGGTTCTGTTCAAACCAAATCTTCGAAAGTAGAGTAAAAGGATAAACGAATAAATTTTTGCCGTTGATCAGGTCTTACTTGGGATGCGGCACGATTCTGCTTCCTCTCAGAATCGTAGTGGCTTATTGAATTCGATGCGATCTATACAATGGGCTTGCGGGGGACGGCCGATGTACTCCAGACGAATCTGGCACCAGTTCTCTGTCTTGAAAAGTAGGAGGCTCGGTTGGGTTGAGCAGCAACCGATACGGGATTTACCCTCCGGTCTGCTCGTGCGAAAGGCGTGCTACTTGCCACTACACCACCAGCGCCTAGAGAAAGAATGTAGTGATGTCCGTCTCCTACATGGAAAGCTTTCTACCATAAAAAGGGCAAATATTTCATTTAGTTCTCGGAACATAGAAACTGGGTGCTTATTCATAGATTCTATCAGAAACGGAAATTCTATCAAAAACGGAATTTTAGGATGATGGTGAAGACATTGACACAAAGGAATCTATCGTGGTTGGTGAAGATGGAAAACAGATGACTATCAGACATGTCTTGGTAAGCGCTGGTTTTTTTCCAAACTTTGGCACATCTTTCACATATTTTCTCATGTATTTATTTTCAGGTACCTAGCCAGAGTGATATCGAAGAGATGATTATTGAAAGGAAAAAACGGGAACTTATGGAGAAATACCTTGCGACGAGCTGATCTTCAATGTACATATTAAATTGTTGCCTGTATAATTTGTTGAAACTTTCCCATGAAAAGTTTGATTTCGAATCTATCTGTTTGACCGGGATGCAAAAACAAACACAATGAGAATACAAGCATATACAGTAGAAGGAATCCTCCATCATTTAATGTTAGCGTTAAATGAAAAGACTTGATGAGACGCGGTGCGACAGTTAGACATAAGATGCGACGAGCGAACTCGCTGTACATGTGGGGTTACTGATGCGACTCATAGTTATCACGTTTTGCACCGTCGTGAAATTGCCTGTTGCTACAATACTGTCTCATATCGTACCTAATCGTATCAATCCAGTTTGTCTTTTGTCCCATAAAACAGATAATACGCGCGCCCGTGGGGTATATCTCCTGATGCAGCTGCTTTCTTTGATTGCAGTAAACGGGGCTGGAAGGTGAGAAAATCGGGGGCTGTCCGCGCTGCCTCAGCGGCCAGTAATGCCTAACTATAGCCCAACGCGCACTTGTTTACGTCCTCTCACTTCTGATCATTCTCTACCACCGAAGGAGTGTTTCGATGAGGGGTCTTAGTATCGACGTAAGGCTGCGTTTACACTTTGCGGCAGCGTAGCGTAGCGCTTCCAGCGTAC